GGTCCCCACTGGGATGCCTGGCCAGTCTGGGTGAGGGGCTGAGGGCCATTTTCAGGCTGGCAGGTGACTTAAGCTCCCAACCTCTCCTTTTTTTCTTTTTTATTCTGGGATTCATTTACCTTCTATAGCTGTCACTGGAGATGAGAGCTGGCTTTAGCTCTGAAACTCGGCTCCAATTCTGAGACCTCAGCTGCTGAAAGCAGATATCTGGGGTTGTTTGGCTTCTATAATTTAAACACTGTTACAGCTCCAGCTCTGAGGCCTGGCTGGCTGAAAGCAGGTTTCTGGGGTTTGTTTAGCTTCTATAATTGCAACATTGTTTCTTAGAGTGCAGCTCCAAGGCCAGCAGGGGCAGGCGGGGAACATTGGCTTCCTCCATCATTGGAGCAAGCAAGCCTCATGTTTAATTCAAGCTGCCTGGCTGCCGGCCGCCATCTTGGCTGGCAGTTAATTTGCATATTGCCCTGATTAGCCAATGGGAAGGGTAGCAGAAGTACGGCTGATTACCATGTTTCTCTTTTATTAGGTAGGATTTGCATGCCATACTAAATTATCAACTTCAAAATTAGCTTGCTGCTCTAGCTAGTTTGGCTCAGTGGATAGAGCGTCAGCCTGCGGACTGAAGGGTCTCGGGTTCAATTCCAGTCAAGGTCACATGCCTGGGTTGCAGGCTTGATCCCCAGTAGGGGGCGTGCAGGAGGCAGCTAATCAATGATTCTCTCTCATCATTGATATCTCCCTTTCTCCCTCTCCTTTCCTCTCTGAAATCAATAAAAATATATTTTAAAATATATGCCAGTATTTAAAAAATTAGCCTGCTATATTTGGTGAAACATTCAATTAACTCACCCCTAATGCTGTTTCAGGGCCAGATCAAATGATTTCAGAGGCCCAAGGGCTGGACATCCTCCACCCCTGTTTTAAATGGGAACACTCTTAGTTCTTCTAGGTTTTCCCCCCAATTCAAATGAGAGATGTCATTTGGACTTAGGGTTACTTGGACTTACAGGGTCACAGGAACTTGGCGTCACCTATATTTCATTAGTTATTGCATGTTCTCAACAGCTCATTTTTCTTCCTTTCTTACTTAGGACACTTGGCCAGTGGTGGGAGGAACCAAATTAAAATGGGCTCAAGCCAAAAAAAGGGGGTGTTTTCTCAGCTTAGATAGCTAAAATACAAAACAAACCAGGAACACGTTGGTTTCAGGCATAGTTGGATCTAGGGACTCACTGTAGCTGTTAAACAGGCTCCCCTTGTGATGGCCATGGTGACTCCCAGCAACTGCAGACTTTTATACCTTCAGGGGCCCCAGGAAAGAGCATCTCTTTGTTAGTGGTTGCAGGTTCAGACTGTCTCTGATTTGTCCCACTTGGTCACAAGCCCAGCTTAGAACCAATGGCTCTGGCCAGGGGAATGGAAGGGTGGGGTCAAGTCCAATCGGAACCTCAGGGACAGAATGTGAGTCAGGAGGATTTTCTCAAAGGCAGCTGGAACTCTATGCTAAAGGTCCCTCAGTCAACACACTGAGCAGCTGCTCCAGGGAGAGAGGATGATAATAGGTTTATTAAGGCCAGGGAAATGTGGATGCGGGGCCCAAGTCCAAATACCTGGGCCTGAGGCCCCATGCTGGCCACTGCAGAGAGCTGGGTTCGTGTACTGCCCAACGAGTGCATCAAGAAGCTGTGCCCCGTGCATTTTCATGGAAATGGCTCCGAGTACATCATTGCCCTCACCACTGGGAAGCACGAAGGTTATGTCCACTTTGGGACTATTACAGGTAAGGGTGGGGGCCTCTGGCATCCCAAGAAACTCCTCCATTCCCTCTCACCTCCAAGAATTCTGACCTTGGGCTCTAACCCTTTACTATGTGCCTTCAGAAGGAGTCCCATGGCCTAGCCAGTTTGGCTCAGTGGATAGAGTGTGAGCCCGAGGACTGAGGGGTCTCCAGTTAGATTCCCGGTCAAGGGCATGCACCTCGGTCCCTGGCCCCGGTATGGGCATGTGTGAGAGCCAACCAATTGATGTGTATCTCTTACAGCGATGTTTCTTTGTCTCTCTTTCCCGCGCTTCCACTCTCTAAAAATCAATGGAAAAATATCCTCTGGTGAGAATAAACAAAAACAAACAAAGTCCCAGGCTGGAGGTTGGTCCTAGGACTTAGGCATTTGTAGGGATAGTGCCTGGGGTGTATTATGTATCATATTATTTGTTTGGTTTCAATAGGCATAAGTTCAATTCAAAAATTATTTAGGCATAAAGAATGTGTGGACTTATAAGTGAAAAGACAAAGTGCCAACTTCAGGCATGGCTGGATCCAGGGGCTCATAGGGTATATTGTCAAGACTCTGTCTCTTGGCAAGATAGTATAGCATAGTAATTATGGCACAGGTCTAGAGAGAAACTGCTTCAACACTCCCAACTCAAGTCACCTGTGGTATGGGCAGGTGACTTATCCCCTCTTTTTGGCCTCATTTAATCAGAAAAATTGGACCAATAATACTACTAGTACTTGCTTCACTGTGTTGATATAAAGATTAAATATGTTGGCATCCATAAAAGTCTTAAAATAGTGCTAGGGACATGGTGAGTGCTAGGAACGGGATTACTATTATGAGCCCTGTGATTTAGCTCCATCTTCAGGTAGATGCTCCTCTTGTGGGGGTTAAGGAGGGCTCCCAGGAACACGAGGATCTTCTCCCACCGGCTTGAGTCACCCAGGAGAATGAGAGCAGCCTCTTCCTCATTAGCCCTAAGGGTGCACTCTGATTGGCCGATTCTTAGTCACGTGCCTGGACCTAAACCAATTACTGTGACCAGAGACAGACATACTCTGATAGGCCAGGTGTGAGTGACTGAAAGGTCAGGGGGTAAGACCTGTCCCCTGAGGAAGTGGGTGGGGGCACCGGCATTCTACTGTGGTGGGATGCCTGTTGGGCTGAGAATGGGAAAGGCCTGAACATGGAACTGTCCTGCTCCGCAGATGGCCTTGTTTCCTTCCAGATGCTGCCCAGGCAGCAGTCCGTGTGCGAAAGGATACAAGGTACCCATGTCCCAAATGGGTCTGCTGTGGGTGGGTGTGGGGATCTAGGGCCGGGGAGAGCAGGAAAGGGTGGGAGAGGTCACAAGGAAGGAAAAGGACGGGCAGTGTCATGGGGAGAGGTGAAGAGTTACAGGGATGAGATGGGGTGGCAGTCTCAGAGAGGGAGGAGGTGATGAAGAGGGCTGGGCTCGGGGCTGCTCTGGACCTCCCCTTCCCTCCCAGTTGTCATCTGTTCCATAACCTGGGCTGTATACACTGAGCTTAACTACAACCTACTGCTGCTGGTGGAGATTGAAGACACTGCTGCCAGGAAGTATTTCCAGATGGTCGGTTACAACCTGGGTAATTGGGGTACTATGGGTGGGGGGCTTGAGCGCACCACAGACAATGGGAGGGAAATGTTCCTCGTGTCACTCCTAGGTAAGGCTTGGTGGGTTGGAGGAACTGAGAGGAAGTCAGTGTGACTAGAACAGAGCAGGAAAGAGAAAGGAGGACAATTAAGACTGGAGCAGAAGCCAGATAAGGAAGGGCCTGTGGCTCACAGTAAGGAGATTTGGTTTTATTTTACCTGAACTGAGAATAGGGTGCCATGTGCAGTTGAATAGGCTGTGCCCTGCACTCCCCAGTCAAGGAGCTACAGGAGGCAAGTCCTGTGCCCTAACTGGATGTATCTTCTCAGAGGTGGTGCCTTTTCAGAATTCATGTAAAGAAACAGTAAGGGCCAAGAGGCCCGAAGGGGAAGGCATTGCCAGGTGTTGGGGAGGAATTGGGAAGCTGGTGACTTGCCTAGTTTCAGGTTTTTGAAAGCTCCAAGCCTCAGGAGATTTTGCTGTGTTCTCTTCACCTGCAGTCAATGATTACCTGTCCATTCTCTACACCATCCCGGAATTCATTCCTGATGGTAGGAGGGGAAGGTAGAGGGGGCCTCAAAGGTGAGTGGGAGCCAGGAGGGATCCTGCCTCACTACTGTGTCCACTCTGCCTCTGCCCCCGCCAGCTCGAGGCTTGAAGTTCCTGATGATCCTAGGGACAGAGTCTTACACCAGCTTCCCGATGGTGCCCAAGGGCATGTCCTACAACTCATTTAATAATCTGCTGTTCATCTGGGGTAACTTCCTCCTGCAGAGGTAGGGGCTGGGCATATTCTGCTTCCCCCGCCCATGAGGGGTGGGGTCCTTTCTAAAGTCACCAAGTTTTCAGTTTGACCAAGTCCCAAAGTTATGAGGACTGTAATGGGGAAAACATAGGCTGGGGTGGCGAGGGCTAGAATGGAGGGAACTAGGGGAGCCCTCATGTGAGGTCCCAACCTATGTGAGCAATAGAATTGTCTGGGGAAGGTTAGGGCACTTTTCACCCCTCAGGAACCTAGGAGCCCCTGAGCCAACGCCATGGGCGGTTGGCAACATGCCAAGTTGACTGAATCCTCCTATTTACAGATGGAAAGTTCCCCTGGAGGGTTTGGAATCAGGGGCAGAAGCTAGAATCACAGGTTTCCTTTTCATGTTCTCACAAAGCTAGTGGAGAAGTGAGAAAACAGCTCTTGTTCAGCTTGGTCTGGGGAAAACATATCTTCCAGGGGCCTTGCCTGAGTGCTCCTAGCTTCCATCTCTACCCTGCAGTTATAACAGTGAAAACTTCATCTACCTGGCGGACTTCCCCAAGGAGCTATCCATCAAGTACATGGTCACCTCATTCCATGGAGACATAGCTATTGTCACTGAGACTGAGGAGGTGGGCTGCCCTGCTCCTCTCCCCACTTCCTCTCTGTCCACCCCAAAGCCCAGAAGTCTCCCTTCTCCCCCTGCTAGGGTAAAGGGGCCAAGGGGAAGGAACACCCTCAGGGACTGTGGGGAAGGGCAGCAGGAGCTCCGTTTACAGCTGAGAACACTGGAGCTCAAAGAGGCTAAGTGTCTTCCAAAGTTCCTCAGCAGAGTGAGGGACCTGTGCTCAGAGTTATACGATCTGATTTCCTGAGGGTGCCCTCTTTTATTTCATCAAGCAGGTGTTCCTTTCATAAACATGCAGCACATACTGGAGGCATGGCCCAGTGCTGGGGCACAGTGGCAACTGAGTCAGCCCTGGGCCCTGCCCTCACAGGGTGTCAGGCCAGTTGGGGAAGACAGAGTCATTCCCAGACAGTGACAGTTGAGAGTGGTCAGGCTGCAGCAGGGGAAATCAACTAGGGATGTTCAGAGAAGGGGCCCGACCTGGTCAGGGTGTGTGTGTGTGTCAAGAATGGCCTCACAGTGGAGGCCACATAGACGGGGGACATCCTGGAAGCTGAGGTTCAGGAGGAGGTGAGATCCAGAGTCAAATGTACTGGGGACATGGGGCCTGGGCATCAGTGCAGGGAAATTAAGGCTGATGATCCTAGGGACAGTCTTACACCAACTTCCCGATGGTGCCCAAGGGCGAAATTGAAACCCTGGAGAGTGAGAAGAAAAAAGGAAAGCTCAACCCCAGGAACACATCCATTAGAGAGTATAGGTATCAGGAATGCTTACATTAGCAGACAGAAACACTGAACAAATCATGGTGAGTGGGAGCTGGAAGCAGAAATGGTGGGTTCTGGGAAGTAGAGAGGCGGCACTACAGAAAGAAGGGGTGTGAGCTCACCTGATTCCAGCTGGAGGTGAGCTCCCAAGCCTCACCCCTCAAGGAATGGGGCCATCACACTTGGCAGAGGAAGAGGGGGGTCAGAGGTCCCATGGCCCTCACACACACAGCTGTTGCACCTCCAGATCTGGTACCTCGTGGAGGGCAGCTATCACGTGTACAAGTTGTTCCCATCCAAGGGCTGGAATGTGTACATCAGCCTCCAGGTGATGCAGCAGTCCTCTCTCTATGCTTCCCATGAGACCATGGTCACCCTCTTCTATGAAGACAGCGATCTGTACCAGGTGCCAGCCAGGGGCTATGAGAGACTTGGGGGGGACAAAAAGGGGGGGACACCAGCTTATCTGGCCCTGCCTTCCCACTGCAGCTGGTGTACCTTGTGAATAACCAGCAGGGCCAGCTCATCAAGAGGCTTGTGCCTGTGGAGCAACTTCTGATGTACGAGCAGCTCAGTGACCCCCACTCCCTGGAGCAGCAAAAGTGAGAAGACACTAGATGGACCAGCAGTAGTCAGAGAGCCCCGAACACTTCCCACACAAAGCTCCCATTCCATGGGGGGTTGGAGAGAGACCAAACCATCCCCAACTAACAACCTTAGGGCTATGATGTGGGAGGTCGGGGTGAATGGAAGTTCAAAGAAGGCATTTAACCCAGTCAGGGAGGGAGCACCAGGGAGAGCTTCAAAGAGAAAGATGTACATGAGCTGTGAGCTGTGAGGAAGGATTGGCCAGATAATAAGATGGAGGACGTTTCAAACAGGGGGAATCATGTTCAAAGACCCTGAGAAGGAAAGGAGACTGGGTTTTTGAGAACAAAGTGTAGTGCAGATAGAATGCAGTGGTGGTGGCAGGGCAGACAAGGTGAGCCAGTGGCCATAGGGAGGACTTCATCTTGAGGGCCCTGGAAAGCTATGCTGGGATTAAGGGGAGGGGCTGCCTGGTCAGATTTTACTGTTTAATAATAATCCTCTGGTCACCTGCGGAGGAGCCCCTGGGCGGGGTGGAGAAAGGGGGAGGTGGAAGGACTCAGGAAGGGGAGGAGAGTCTAGGGAGGAGATCCACGACTCTGGTCTGAGGCTGAGGAAGAGCAGGACTGGATTGGATTTGGGGAGTCAGCAGCGCAGGGGTGGGAAACAGGCCAGTGGAGGCTCTTGGGGCGCAGGGCGCAGAAAAGTAAGCGGCCACCCCCCACTACCACCGCCCAGGAGTCACCTGAAACTCTCCTTCACCAACTTCTGCCCCTTCGCGTTGATGCGCCTGCGGGACCTGCCGGACCAGAAGATCTACACGCGCCAGGAGCTCTACTGGGCGCGGCCGCCGGGCGTCCTGGAGCCCTCGGGCTTCCACACCGAGAACTCACTCGCTGTCTATCAGGGGCTCGTCTACTACCTGCTCTGGCTGCACTCCAAGTACCACAAGGTGGGCGCCTGGGGCAGGGGCTGTCCCCGCCGGGGCTTTGAGAGGAACTGCGGAGGCCCAGAAGGCCAGGTCTGTGGAGCTGGAAGAACGGCCGCGGAGGGTGGAACAGAGCGGAGCAGCCTGGTATCTGAGGCTAAGCGGGGCCTGGGAGATGGCGTTCCGGCTCTGCTGTGGGGCTGGATGCAGGGCGGGCCAGGTTATATTTTGCTTTGGGTTAGGAGCTGGGAATGAGGCTGGGCAGGGGTCTGGGAATGTCAGCTGCCTGTGGACGCTCCGCTCCGCCCCCTCACGGTGCTGGCGGTCTCTGCAGCCTTATGCCGACCCCGTGCACGACTCCACCTGGCGTTGGTGGAAGAACAAGAAACAGGACCAGGTGCGTGGAGAGGGTTGCGAGTTGGAGGAGGGGAGACCCCACCTCCCACTCCGCCCCGCCCTGTCCGGCTCCTCGCTCAGGGTGCTGCCTCTCCCTGCCTCCCATGCTCCAGGACTACTACTACTACCTGGTGAGCAACGGGAAGAGTGCGGGTAACGTGCACATTGACATGGCCAACTACAAAAAGATCTACGACATCAAGACTGAGTACCAGCTGCCGGAGCGCATCTTCCTGGATAAGGGCACCAGCTACAGCTTCTCCATCTTCCTGACCTTCCGGGGCCACTCGTTCAAGTCTGAGCTGGAGCCAGGTCTGTGGGCAGGGCCTGAGTGGAGTCGGAGTGGCGGGGGCGGGGTGGCCGGGACCTGGGCACCATCCTGGGACGGGTCTGGTTCTACGCCTTAAACCTTTCTATGCCCCGAGCAGGCAACATCTTCCAGCTGCTGAGCCAGGTGGACCTGGGCGTGGTGCTGGCCGACCCCAGCTGCATTGAGGCGGTGGTGAGGCAGGAGGTCCTTATTAACCGCAACTCGGTGCTTTTCAGGGTGAGGACAGGCGGTGCGGAGGTGTAGGGACAGATTTACCCAGGCAGTGGACTTGTGGGAAGTTCGTGGTTCCTTAAACCGTTCCTAGATCTTTGCGCATGCCTATCGATCCCTTCGTTTTCGCCCCCCACCCCAGGTTTTGCTCCGTGATAAAAGTGTTTGCTTTGATCAGGGCATTAGTGGCCATCACCTCATGAAGACGGCCATGCTGGTCAAGGTACGGTCCAAGCCTGGAGAGCAGGGAAACAGGATGAGGGGGAAAGGCTGGTCCCCTGGGACCCACCCTCATCACCTGATCCCACCCACAGGTGGCGGGGTCAGCTGGGCACTGCGTCCAGAACACCATCCAGGGGCTCCGCATGCAAGTATTGAACCTTGGGGTATTGGGCCCTGTGCTGGGTGGGAAAGGGTTGGGCAGAGTGGAAGCAGGGCTGATTCTGTGTGCTCCCCTGGGAGTCAAACTGCCTTTATAGTTATGTAGATTGCATCCAAGCTTGCATATTCTAATACTTTTCTGCAAGGGGAAGTAAAGTACCTGTGACGTGGGCTTCCTTTTCCAATGGGCACAAAGGCACCATGTGGGCCAGCTTGGCCCTTTTCCCACATGTTGCTCTTCATGTGCCCACTTACATGTGCTTTGATCACTCCTTTGGGTCCTTGGTTCTTCACTTACTTACACATGCAATATCCCCTTTGCACAGAGGCAGAAAACGAGCCTCAAAGAGATGCAGACATCTGCTCAGAGTAACTCAGGGAGCTAACAAGTGGTAGAGGAGGGACCTGACCCAGAGGCATTGTCACCCACCTCCCTACACACTAACCAGCAGACAGACCCTGGTGCTCCTCCCTCCTGGCTTGGTATGACCGAGGGCAAAAAAACGGGTTGTAACAACCCCAACACTTGGATTACATGAGATAATTTGGGTCAAGTACAGGATAGAGCAACTCACCTCAGTCTCCATAAGTGTTCCTTGCTATGCTTAGTGATATGCATTATTTATCATAACCTGAAAAGGTCAAAGTTAACATCCCCATTTTGACCTGGCAGATTCCTTCTGGGAATCTAATCTATAACACACAGCAAAGGGTAGAAAACAACCTAAATGTCCATGAATAGGGGAGTGGTTAAATAAATTATAGTACATCCAAGCAATGAAAACCTATGCAGCTATAAAAAAAGAAAGAAAGATCTTCATATACTGGTGTGGAATGGTCTCCAAAGTGTATTTTATTCTTAAGAGAAAAAAGCAGGGTACACAACAGTATATACAAAACATTAGCGTGAAATAGGTTCATTGAGAACATATACTCATGTTCGCTTTTATTTGCATGAAGAAACTTCAGGGTAATGGGCAAAAAAATACTCAAGGTGGTTCTCTACTCTGGTGATAGAGAAGAGATAGGATAGTTGGAGGATGGAAATGGAAACTTTCACTGTGTGTGTGTATCTACATATATTCATACGTGACCATGTTACCCATCTAAAAATGAAGTTTTGCCCTACCTGGTTAGGCTCAGTGGATAGAGCATCGGCCTGCACACTGAAGGGTCCCAGGTTCGATTCTGGTCAAGGGCACGTACCTTGGTTGTGGGCACATACCCAGTAGGGGGTGTGCAGGAGGCAGCTGATTGATGTTTCTCTCTCATCAATGTTTCTAGCTCTCTATTCCTCTCCCTTCCTCTCTATAAAAAATAAAATATATTAAAAATGAAGTTTTAAAATAAGCCAATCATTTGCCTGGCCAGTGTGGCTAAGTTGGTTGGAGTGTCGTCCTATACACTAAAAGGTTCAGAGCACATACCCAGGTTGTGGATTTGATCCCGGTCAAGGTGCGCGTGGGAGGCAACCGATCAATGTTTCTCACACTGATGTTTCTCTCACTCTCTCTTTCTCTAAAAATCAATTTTTTTAAAAAAGCAAATGACTTTTAAAAAGATAGGGAAACAGAGGTGCTAAAGGTAGTCTGAACTTCTTTTTCTTTGTATTCTCAGGCTGTGGCCTTTCCAGTTTCTAGCCCCCATCCCCCCCCCCCCACACACACACACACACATTACCAGATCAAGAGGCATGTGTATTTAGAAGGCCTGGAGCCTCTCTCTGGCTCCCCATCCTGGAAAAAAAAAAATGGAAACTGGAACTAATTGATGAACAGTGGGTTTTCAATTTGTAAATATCTTGGATGAAGGAAGGAAGAAATGAATTTACACATAATAGGTGCTCAATCAAATTTGGTTAGATGAATAAAGGCTTGCAGTGTCTCTTAGCAGGCCAGATTCAAACATGGGCCTCCTTGGGGGATGGAACTGGGACTGGGATCAGCGGGATAGACCAGGAATAGACTTCACTCTCTGTATCCAAAGCTTACTAATTCATTCAACCAATATTTATGGAGTGCCTACTACATTCCAGCATTGTTTTAGGGGCTAGAGTTATAGCAGTGAACAAACAATTTCTGCCCTTGTGAAGCTGATGTTCCAATGGGGGAAGTGTATTCATTCCTAGGTCTGCCATAACAAATTACAACAAACTGGGAAGTTTATTCTCTCCCAGTTATGGAGAACAGAAGTCTAAAATCAGGGTTGGTCCTTCTGGAGGTTCTGAGGGAGAATCTGTTCCAGGCCTCTCTTCTGGGTTCTGGTGATTATTAACAATATTTGAAATTCCTTGGCTTATAGATGCATCACTGAAATCTCTGCCTTCATTTTCACAAGGCCTTTTCCCTGTAAGTCAGTGTCCAACTTTCCCTCATGTTATAAGGACACCAGTCATTAGATTAGGGCCCAGCCTAGTCCAGTATGATTTCTTCTTAACTACTTTTTTTTATTTCATAGAGGGAGAGGGAGAGAGAGATAGAAATATCAATGATGAGAGAGAATCATTGATTGGCTGTCTCCTGAACGACCCCCACCCCCAATTGGGGATCATAACTGTAACCTGGGCATGTGCCCTAGACTGGAATCGAACCTGGGACCCTTAAGTCCATAGGCTGACACTCTATCCACTGAGCCAAACCAACTAGGGCTGACTTCATCTTAACTTGATTACATCTATAAAGACCCTATTTCAAATTAGGTCACATTAGCAGTTACCAGGGATTTAGGACTTCAACATATCTTTGGGATGCACAATTCATCCACAGCAGAATCTGACAATAACATAAATAAAAGATATTGTGGAAATTAAAAATGGCTGTGGAGTAAGTGGATGCTGTATAGACATGCTCCCAGAAACAAATTGGAATTACAACTAAAATACAGAAAAACTTCCTGAATAATCAATGGAAGACTTGCTGGAGAGAAACCTGATAACTGAGGATGGAAAGTGGTGACTGCATAGAGACTGGTAGGAAGGGCAGAGGCAAGAAAGGGCTGGCTGGGCTCCCACAGATAACTGACATTCTGGAGAGATATCTCAGCTGTGGAGTATTGCCACTGAGAACCCTGGGGTCTAATCCCCAAGCTGGGCCCCCAGCAGAGAGCACCAGAACTGAGAGAGGTGCCCACATAAAATCTGGCTGTGAAAAGCAGAAGGGTTGCTGTCTGCCTGGGAGAGATGCCTGGAAATGCAGGCACCCTCTTAAAAGGCCAATGCACAAAATTCCCTGTGCAGCCATTCATCTTGTGTTCCAGCAAGGGAGAGCAGAGTGGACTGGAGTTGTGAGAGCAGAAGCCAGGATAGGGAACTCTGAGATTAAAGTTTGGAAAGCAGACATCCTGGTTTGCTGTGTTGAGTCATTCCCTCACACTGTGGAGGTCATCTTTTTCATGCAGACAATTGCTACACAGTCAGCTTTGCCTGGGAGGAGGACAGCTGACCCACCCTACTGGAAAACACCTTGCCTCACTGTGTGGAGTTTCTGATACCATTAAGAGACTGAGAATAACAGCCTCCCGGCAGAAGCAGTTGCCCCACACTGTTGAAAAAAACTCTCGCTACAGCTGAAGACAATGGCCTGAGGGCAATTCAAGACAGAATCCCATCAGTCTGTAGGCAGAAGCAATCTCTGGAGAATTTAAGTCTCTGCCTGATGTAATTAATCAGAAACAGCGTTTGACACTGTCCTGCACCAGAGATTGAGAGTTGTAGCAGATCTACCTAATACATAGTCACAAACCCAAACAGGCAGCCAATATTAGGAGACAATGAAACAACCCACAAATGAAAGAACTAGAGAATTCTCCAGAAGAAGATATAAATAAAATGGAGATAAGAAATTTATCTGATATAGAGTTCAGAAAAATGATAAAGATGCTCAACAGCATGAGAAAGATATAGTAACTATAGAAACATAAAGCATGACATAGCACAAATAAAGAACACATTGGAAGAAATACACAGCAGATTAGGGAGAGCTGAAGATTGAATCAGTGAATTAGAAGACATGTTTGAAAAAAATCAGAGAACCATAAAACAATAAAAAACAGGAGGACAGCTTAAGGGAGCTGTGGGATAACATGAAATGTAACAATATTAGAATAGCAGATGTGCTAGAAGAGGCAGAAAGGGAAAAAGGGATAGAAAATGTGTTTTACAAAATATTGGCAGAAAACTTCCTAACATAGTAAAGGAAAAAGTCACACAAGTCCAGGAGGCACAGAGTCCCAAGCAAGAAGAACCCAAATAGGCCCACGCCCAGACACATCATAATTAAAATGCCAAAAAAGAAACAAAAAGAATCTTAAAGGAAGCAAGAGTAAAGCAAATTGTTACCTACAAAGGAGCTCCCGTAGGCTGACCCTGATTTCTCATCAGAAACTATATAGGCCAGAAGGGAATGGCATGAAGTACTCAAGGTAATGGAAAGCAAGGATCTGAGACCAAGATTACTATATCCAGCAAGGCTATCATTCAAAATACCTGGTGAAATAAAGAGCTTCCCAGACAAAAAAAAAAGGCTAACAGAGTTTATCACCACCAAAACAGCACTGCAAGAAATGCTAAAGGGACTGCTGTAATGAGAAGAGATACGTACAAGGTTAAAATGGTAATAAATAAGTACCTATCAATAATAACCCTAAATGTAAAGGAATTAAATGCTCCAATTAAAAGGTATAGAATAACTGAATGAATACAAAAACATGACCCAACTATATGCTGTCTACAAGAGACCCAACTCAGAGCAAAAGACACACACAGGATGAGAGTGAGAGGATGAAAAAAAGTTTTCCAAGGAAATGGAAAAGAAAAAAAAAGCTGGAGTAGCAATACTCATAACCAACAAAATAGACTTCAAAATAAAGGCCATCACAAGAGACAACAAAGGTCACTATATAATACTAAAGTGATCAATCCAACAAGAGGATATAACCCTGGTAAACATAGAAGCACCCAATATAGAAGTACCTAAATATATTTTTAAAATCT